TATTATTATTATTATTATTATTATTATTATTATTATTATTATTATTATTATTATTATTATTATTATTATTATTATTATTATTATTATTATTATTATTATTATTATTATTTTTATTTTTATTATTTAATTTATTAAAGTTATTAAGGCCTAATATATATAAAGACTTATTCTTCTTAGTAAAGAGCTTAGGGTTAGTTTATAATATCTCTAATTAGAGCGCTAAGGTATAATAATAATAAACTTCTAAATATAAGAAAGTTATTAATAGGTTAATAATATATTTAAAGAAAATCTTATAAAGTAAAAATACTGTTATAAAGTAATAATATTAAAAAAAAAAGAAAAATAAGAGGTAATTTATATAAAAGCCTTTTATCTTTAAAGATTATAATTTATAGCGCTTAATTAAGTATATTTATATAAATAAAAAATTAGCTTAAAATAGTAATTTCTTTATATATATTTAAAAGGCTTATATAAAAAGTAAATTCTTTTTTTTATTAATTATTTATTTTAGGCTATTTCTTTTATTAAAGCTATTTAGAAAGTATTTAAATACTATTATTAGTATATATTTAAATAGGGGGTATATTAAGCTATAGCGCGCTATAATTAGTTAATGCGGCCTTACTATAGGGGCTATGCGCTATATATATAGCCGCATTAGGTAATACCCTTATTTTAGAAAAAAAAAAAAGGCTCTTTTAATTACTGTTTTTTATACTTTAAGGTGACCGCAGGCGCTCTGTATGATAATTGGGATATATATCTGGCTGCGTTGCAATGAGTACGTACCCTGACATGGGCGGTCAGCCAGCGTTATCAACGGATAATATTCGGCTAGCTGCTCGGAACGGTCACGTGTGTGACAGAAACTTGTCACCCACGTGATCTCCATGCTGACTCCAGCCGAGAAAGAGGAGGCACGGAGGCTCGTCATTGTTTTTCAATGACAAGACCACTGTGTTAGCATTAGGTCATGATGCTATGATGATGTGTTGAGAGTATGTTCTTTATTATCGTTTCAGCCCGGACCTTGATGGGAACTGAACCAGAAGATCGTTTTTCAATGACCTCTCCGACGCCGATGGTCACAATATGGAAGAACAGGCAGGCGACGGATAATGACGAAAGGAGACAGCAAACAAGAGCTGAACAACATCACAGTGTAGCCTAATGCAAAAATGTTTAGGAATTCAGATATTCTTACCCTGATTGCACTCTCTAGTATGATTACAGTCATCTTAATCTCGTGTTGGTCGATCCGATTCACTTTTGGAGCCCAGAGATTAAGAGCGCCAGTGTAGGACTGAGGTGCAATCATGGAGAATGAATACCAGAGTGAATTACAGCACTATCAGTGGCCTGCCGGAGACTGGAGATGGTACATCGAGTCTCCTCTACAAAGCCTCCCCGCTATTGCTACTGTGGGGTCGACTAACCTTCAATATCGTCGTAACCTATAACTGTGCCGGTACCAAGCATTAAGAGGACCGCCCCATGGTGTTACGAAGTATTGCGTCTCTGAAGAGTCAATGCGCATATCCTCTGGAAATTTATCCGTGGCAGAGTGACTGATCCAGACACCGGGATCCAAGTCAATAGTTCCTTACGGTGTTTTACAGCATCGAGTTTTGATGCTATCATATTTGTTAGTGTGCTCTTTTATATTGTTCCCGACGGACACGTCATTGGGAAACAATAAGATCCGAGGGAACTGGGCAACTTGACTGCAACAGGCCTACCTCCCTCTACAAACTGGATGACCGAGACCAAAGACTCTGAGAGGGCCAGTGAGGACCATCAAGACAACGAACTAACAGCAACATGACAACTAGTAATGTTTGCATTAGGAACGAGGCAAATGACCTTACCATCGTTCGTGGAGATACTTTTTGTGGCGAAGAGCCTTCTTGATATTCATTGTGTCGTTCGGGGTGCAAGATTGGTTGGGTACTCGCTCAGGGAAAGTTGACGTACGGATATTGAACAGTTTACATCAAGGCCTATGTGACTGAGGAGCTTCTATACCAGACAGCATTTGCGAGGACACCGAATAAAACCTCATGGGCGTTTCATAGTGAGGCCACCATAGCTACCGGCAAAGAGCAGTAACTACCTACCGAGAAGACTTAATGAAGATAGTATCGCTACGAATGAGTTATGTCACATGTCATAAAGAAAGGGGATATATACTTAATTAGTCGTGATAGAACCGGCCGACTTAGTGGCACATAATATTACCCAGAAAGTCATAACGGGAACGAACTGGTTATACCTGTGATAAGCTGATTATACCTACCACGGCCTGGTTATAACTGTGGAGAGCCAGTGATTACTACTGAAAGGGGTTTTGACTGACGTGTAGAACCATAGGCACCGTCAACTTTCACGTTAATCTGGACAGCTACCTGGCCGACGAAATGCTGTTCGATACGAAAAGGTGACAGTACCGGAGAACTTGGGTTTCTAAAGCCTAATAAGAATTCAGGTGCTAATTCCAAGACTGGCAATACGTTTTAGAGGTCACCAGATAGCACCGTTTCGCAACACTCTGAGCCAGGGGCAGCACGATTAGCTCAGTCATCAGGCATAGGATCTTTCGCGAATGCACAAAGGGCATGGTGCCTGGTCTCGGTTCTTGAGGTAAGACGGTCGAATGCAGGTGTCGAGTTCTTTTATACCTAGATCAATGAATAACAGATCGATGAATAACTGGTCTTGACAAGTAAGCACCTTTATGATCTCTTTCTGAAGCTGTGGCGACGGCTTGCCAAAAGGGAAGGGAGAAGCCAAGATGAATATAGAGGCAAGGGGGTCATACCCCAAGGATATCTTAATACTATGTTAATATGCAGGTGTTTTCATAGTTTCCGCTCGTCTGCACATTGACTCGCGCGGTACAAGGTGAGTCTTTTTATAGTTACTGACTTGGCGTGAAGCATCCGGAGGTGTGGATTTGGGCGAGCTTAAGTACTTGTCCGTTTGCTTTAAACGCCATGAGCAACAGCAATGCCGTACCAGGCATTTTGTTATTATCTGCAATTATGTCAAGAACCCATCAGCCACAACAGAAAAAGGCACAGCTATCAATACATGACAGTATCAAACTCAGTACCGAAATGACAGTAACCTAATTGCACTAGGGATTGAGGAAGCGGGGACTACTATTTCTTTACCAACCACAAACTTCTCTCAAGGATGTTGGGTTGATCGTGGTCCAAAGAGCGTATATCGACTGGGACAGCTCGATCCAACACAGGCCAGATGAATCTCCAGAACGACAAGAACGGGATAACTATGACCGAGTGCAAGGGATAGTGAATGTGTGATTGTAATCAGAGCTTGAGGGACAGGGGCTTGGATATGTTGTAGGTCAGTGACTGTCATTACAAGAACGAATCTGGTATACAAACGTACAAACAGATCAGGGAAACGACTCATCAAGCTAGCAATAGCACAAATGCCCTTCATCAAGATCGAAAAAAAACTAAACCGATCACCAAATTCACCACATTCTCGGAGCAGTAGTGGCTGGTTTGATCTTGAGAGCTTGCCCAAGTCAGATATATGTCCTGTTGGTTCGTTTAACTGAGACCTACCCTATAGTGGGCCAAAAACAAATTGCGATTGAGACCCACCTGCCACCTCTCTTATGATGGCGATATACCCTACCTTTTACCTTTCTCCCTTATAAATTCTACTTAACAACCGACAGCCTACGTAGTCATTCCGTAAAATGCGTCTCCATATTTCTTAATCCTCTCGTCCACTGTCCACCATCGCACAAGGAGCACCCAGCCGCGCCCATCATGACTAAGTGGTCAGCCGCCTCTGTTGCTGAAAGTTGCCTCGCTGCATTGTTCAGGCCTGCCCAATAATTTCCCCACCGCCAACCAACACTACTGCTTGAGCAAACAACAATCAAGCCAAACCCGCTCTTTCACCATCATATGATCACGCCCTCCGCTCACCTCTCGCGCCTCGAAAGGTCCATCTTGTTAGTAGGCCTACATGCCGCCTCGTCCGCTTGCGTCTGCGCCTGCGCTGCACCCTGCTGAAACGGTAGACCTGTCTTCGAGGACACGGCAAACACCAGTCGGTCTGATTGATTGCGTCTTGACGGATCCTCGCGGCCCTCCATCTACCGAAAAGCTCCTTGTATGACGCTCTGGCGCTGGTCACATCTTTGACTTTCTACTCCACGATCGCCTCTCCCCTCGTGTGCCCATCTCAGCAACCTGATCCATCTTTCCATGGGACTTTTGCTAACACGATCCCACAACAGACCCTGAGCGCAATCAATTCAAGCGTGTCGCACGCCCAGACCCCGGATGACGCATCGAGCCACTTTCGACATCTCCTCGGAGCACACAACGACGAGGAGAGACACACGATACTGAGAGGCATCGCCAATGAATCGCCGACGCTGGCACGCCTGAGCCGAGACGCTTCACAACTGCGCCCCCGCGAACAAATCGACAGGGACAGGCGGGAACAGGCTGAGAAGAAGAAGCAGTCTGACGCCGTGTGGCTTGACGCCGAATGGGGTGGAAAAGGCTGGATTCCTCTTGATGTTCGAGCTGGGCTGTCCACGGTCGGCCTCGACGAACCCAGTGGTGACGTCGTTAGGTTCATGAGGAAGATCACTGAAGCCGCCAAAAACAAGGGCATCCCGCTACCCTCCCTTTAGGAAGCTGGAGGGACTTTGCGGGTCGCCGTCGATCGCGAAGTGGCCAAGAAGACTGGCAAGATCAAGAACCGCCAGTCGACCCATAGTCCACATCTGACTGGCAGGATCGCCAAGGAAGTCTACCAGTCCATAATCAATCCGACAACTGAAGAAACAGAACGGCCTTCAGAGTCACTACATGGTTCAATTTCACCTGGCTCTCCCTTTACTGACCAATGGCCGACCAACTCCGCTGACGAGAACTACGTTCACGACGACTTGCAACCATTTGATCCTGCCTCGTCACCATCATCTCTGCGATCCGACACCCCATTTTATACTCCTCCTCCCTATCCTCTGGACGATCCCATGGCTGGGGCCAACACGGGGGGAAACACGGCCCCTAGAAAGCATCCCTGTACGGTGGATGGTGAGATGCCAGCGCCCGGTCGTGAGAAAAGACGTCGAAAAATGCACTTGGGTGAGAATCTGCAAGCCATCGGACAGCAAGAGATAATCAGGGCTTGTCATGAGGCTCGCTCTCATCTTGACACCGCTTTGACATCAAAGGCTGAAGCAGACTTGGCCCTAGCGTACCTCAACGCCAGAGTAACTGCCATTCGCGACGTTCAGGAGGTAGTTGACAAACACATTCGGGATGAACGGCGGAAGATCAGCGCGCTGCTTGGTGGGGATTCTTATCGCGACAGTGGCATCAGCATTGAAGGCGACCCTCCCAGTAATGGGCTGGAGTCTGCGCTGGAGAGCGGTGCTACCATTTTCCTCAATGGCGCGAAGAAGAGCCGTGACTTGGTCGTTGAACTTGGTCAAGGTCTTAACCTGGAGATCGATGAAGCCTGCTGTCGTCAACAGAAGGCTGCTGATGGAGTTCGTGAAGCGCAAGAGAACCTAGATACGCTTGATCGCCTTTCCAAAGCAAAAGAGGCTCACGACAGCCAGGTCAAGGCTAAGAGACATCTTGAAAAGATGGAAACCTTGGTGCATGAGGCAAGAGAGCAGTTTGAGGAAGCCGACAGACAACACACAAAGTCGCTTGAAATGGCAGAAAATGGAAACTGGATGGCATGTGTGGATGGGCTAAGAAAACTTGGTGGTCAAGAATATCTTGAGGAGTGATTCTGTTGTGATTTAGAGAGTACCTGTCGTGACGACAAGTGGTTGATTGAGTTTAGAATTTAGTCACGACAGAGTCAATTCGATCGAAATAGAGCAAATGGGCTGACAAGCTTCCTTGAATGGTCCTGCAGATTTTCCTCGTTGTTCTCAACCAAGTAGATCCTCGATCACAACAACTAACCCACGTACGGCTCGTCTTGCCCTTCACCTGGCTTAGTGAGAGCTATTCTGGCAAAGGGGAATTGGTAGTCACCTCTATATCTACTTCAGCTCGCGTCAACATCATCCATTTTGCAAAATCTCGACAGAAACATTTCTCTCCTTCATACGCCCAACAAAGGAAGGTTTGTCAATCATCTAGAGAGATAGGTTTCTTCGTACAGGTCGGAATGATGGAAGTGGTTTAGATTTCTTTACACAATTTCGGCAATATTGCTTAGTTGCCTGTCTATGAAAATAGATACCGAGCGGTTCTGGTAGTCACAGAGTCAGGAGACGGTGAGGAGGATTGCGAGCGCTGAGATACAACGGGTATGATCGAGGATGTAGCTACCAGGGCGAGAACGAGTCGTTGCAGCTGCTGAAGCTGAAATCGAGAGAACCCTCATGGTGATTTTGGTGCAGGATTTGCTGGGTCATCACAATTCTGGTCTTGTCCTGGCGAATGCCGTAAACTTGCTTCTCACATGGTTTGTCTGCTCGACATTTTTTTCGGGCTCAGAAAGAGGGCCGAAGTGGATGAGAGACTGGTCGCTCGTGGTCATTTCTTGTAAGTGTCTACAATGAGGGCAACAGTCCATCAGCCACAACGGTAAAAGACTCAGTTACTTTGATGCTTCCCCGTCTCTCGTATTTCGTAGCTGATCGGAGTTATGGACTTATGCCGCTTCCTTCCGACATAAGCCAGAGCCTTCATGATCCCTAAGAACACACTAAACCCGGTAGTGACATTCAGACGCTGGCTGGCGGTCAACTTGCTGACGGGAGGTTAAACGACTTGATGCCAGGTCCATCATCGCATTGTGACAAGCACCTTACACGGCGGCCTACGCTGGTATTGTCGGAGAGGGCAGACGGCAAACTTAGACAACTGAATGAGAGGCTAAGTTGCAGCTGATGGCCTTCACTCACTAGTCTCTAACCCTACAGGCTCTTTAAAGGGTCATTCTGGATATAGTCTCTTTTCTGCTGCTAGAGCGCTTGCATGTTGAGGGCCTCGGCTCTGTTGTGCACTTCATAGGGCCACAAGCGACGACTGACACTTTATCCTAATGTTGGTTGGTGATGGGCGGCTCACACAATGATAAGATGTCACAGACCAGACAACTTTGCATCTGCTCGTTGGCCGGGGAAGGCCGGCCACAGCCTATGGGGTGTTATCCAGCAAAGTTCTCTGCTTGCTGCTGACGTTTGTTTTGTCAAGCCTTTATTATAGGCTAGATGGTCTCAGAGCTCTTACATCGTGTCAGTCATGCCCAACAGTCGTGTGAAGTCGTTTAGTGTCAGATTTAAAAAGGTGATCAAGGTAATGAATTGACTTCCCTTGGGTCCCCTTGCTTACTCATCTTTCTCCAACGTGTGACCGTCTTGATGCTATTATAAGAGTTGCATAGTTGCGAAATACTTTTGAGCATGGACGACGAGAATGACCTGTAGACCCCTTTCTGTTATACGAGAATGACCTATGCCGTGACTCTTGAAAGGCCAGGGAACTTCAGCCTCGGTAGGAATAACTGGTCGAGCAATAGTTGCAAAGCGGCATGATAAGCTCGCACCGTCGTTGTCTCACGGAGACCAGCCCTGGATACATGGTGGGTGTGTGCGTCAACAACATCTACCTGGACATACTGTCACCGATCTCCTCAAAGTTTCACGCCGAGGCTCTCAGGAATAAGAAACTGAGGTGCTCACTCTTCAGGAGATCAAGTCAACGCATATGATGGTTTCCGATAGCATTTGGAAACAATCGGCTCCAACAGATGGTCAAACCTCAGAGATCAGGGGCGAGCAGACTTCATCAAAGGAAGCAGCCAAACAAGGAAAACATAGAATTGGTAACCAGCTGCTGAACAGTAACATTCTTCATGCGCATACAACCTGTTATGCCATTGGTGAACCTGCCTGCGTCCTCTACAGAATATTTCCAACGCAACCATCGTTAAATCATCACAGAGTCACGTCGCTCACTCTCGACGGCGAGGGAGGAATTCGTGCTTCAGACCGTAAAAAGCATCAACCAACCCTTGCAGCTCATCAATCTCCCATCTGTCAACCTCCCATTGCTCGTCCCACAAAGCCTTCTCCTCCTGGTCCTCCATCTCGAGGAATCGGTAATAGTTGATTTCGCAGAGATGTGTAAACTCATCAGCGATCTCCTCGACGGCCCATGTCAGTCGTCGTGCCCACTCTGAGCCGCTCAGTTCGTTGTCTTGCGGAAGAAGCTTGACGTCATATCGGCTGGCGATCCGTGCGATACGGGCCTCAAGGTCCTTGAGCATACGGAGGCTGGAGCGAATAGTCTCTTCGTACTCCGTAGCATCATTTTCAGAACCAGGCTTCTGATCGTTGTTGCTTACGCCCGTCGTATCTGTGGGTTGGGAAATGATGTCGGGGTTGTCGCCCGTGGCCATGGTGGAGGCAGTCTGGATATTGATGGGGCTGTGAGTGCCGCTGTTGGACATAGTCAAGGGAGTTGGGTGGGATATGTGTCGTTCTCCTTGTTGCGTGTTTAGGACAAGGGAGTGTCCCGGGGGCAATCGGGACGACGAAAATGAAAAGACAACAGTGATTTTCTGGATAAGATACGGCGAACAGAGTAGTTGAATGGGTAGGGACTTGGTGCAAGCTGGTGATCTTGAAATGATGGATGGCGAAGGAGTCAGGTTCCATGGAGTCGGGCTGACGGAAAGGGGGGGGCGCTTATAGGTAGAAGTCTCAACAAACCGTCCGTCCAGGTTGATACACAGCATAGCATACAACAACTCATTGCGGCCGGGGCAGGCGGGCTGCGGCTTGAGTCCAAGCATGATGCCGTTGCTCCCATTGAACAAAAGCGCGTCTATCCGTGCCCGCTCGCTTGACTGCATGTGCGTATCATAAAGAGGTCCAAGCTGCAGCATGTAGCTATACGCCTATGTGCGTTGGTGAACCTGAAAGGGGGGTGTGGGCCGTGTAGCAATTGGACATGGTTGACGCGGAAGCACCGAGCCGCTATGCAAGGCGTCCGGCCGCGGTGAGTTGGCATCTTTCACTGTAATTCTTTTATCTCTCTGCACCGTGCTGTCATGGACTAATGATGCAGGTAGGCTGAAAGATTCTTTATTCTTTGCATATGTAACCGTCAACGCAAGAGGCAAACTTGAACGCGTCACATGACAGCCCCAATGACCGGGTATGGCTCGAGGGAGAGAAAGGAAGCTCCTGAGACCTTAAAAACGAGGCACGAGTTTTCCCTTGCTTAGCATCAAGCATCACATACCTCCAGCTTCCAATTTATTCATGGCCGACATGATTGTGTATTGGAATGAGATGAATGGAGGAGCCCAGCTGCAAGAGTCCTCCAAAGCAGCGAGCCACGACTGATCTTCACTGGTATCTACGGTCATAACCGGTTATAACTGACCATAACTTGTTTCTCTTCAGTTATAACCTGGTTCTCTCAGCCAGGACAGGTCAAAACTTGTTGACTACTCCTACTTTCAATTATTCACTACAGAACAACATGACCCTTCTTCTATCCTGATATTGTATACATGGACCATTTCTCTAGGCTGGATCTTCATGATCTACTACGATCCGAGCCGCCTTTGCCCGTTCGATGCGATCAGAATCAGGCTCTATTAAGCGCACAGGAAATAGTGGGTGTCGAATCATTCGAGAATACAGTTGCCGGGTGAGAGGGCCGGCCTGGCGGCCCTGTGAAATTCCTGGCACTTTGGTAATAAACCACAACGTTTTTTTCGTCTGTGTCGAGAACATCCCTAACCGTGTTAGAGTCTCCAATAGTCTTGATGAGACTTTGATTGCGTGATAGTGGCTTTCTACACGGGAATCTTAATGGCGCTCCTAGGAGATTGGCAAGGGGCAAGCCCATGAGGGCTTTGCCAGGCTGTGGGAGTGGGAGTAACTGACGTAGCAGAAGATAATATCAACCTCTGCCGCCGTAAAACCCCCTTTAACGAATATCATTTCAATAACTGCTACACCAGCCCGATGATCTATATGCTGGTGCCCTTTTGTCTGCCGCTATTCTGATGTGAAAACACCTCCCAGCTTCGACGTTCGGTTTTCTGTTCCATTAAGACCGACCAATGAAACTGCCAGTGTTTACGCATCAATCATACTCTATCTCGCTCACCTGGCGGAAAATCCTCCTCCTGGGGTCACTACCACATCGTGAAGTAGAGCCCAGATATCTCGGCGGACGAGATCGAGAGCATTTTGACCGTGGTTCGCCAAATTCATACTCTGCAGGAGGCAGTTGAGGACTTTGGGGCGGTCTCGTCATTGTGTTGGCATCAGTTGGTTGGAGACCATTTCTTGTGGAATGTTTTCCAAGCGGGCTTGCCCTGGTGAGTGTGTCAGGCACATTTTAGCCACAACAGGTCATGGCCGACCCGCCAGATCTAAGCAGTTTAAATCAAGATAAAATTTTCTTAGGTACAACGCACGGGGTATAAGACAGTAGGTCATAATCGGAATTGCCAGGGTATTAGTATGACAGCCAGTTATAACCATAGTTGCCAAGTGATAACCGGGATGGATGTGTTATAACAAGAAGAGCTAGGTCATAACAAGGATCCAGCTGACAGAGCTGGACTCCAGTAGGGGTGTAACCAATTGTGTCATAGTGGGTTTCAGTGATATCAAATAGAATATTGTGCTCTTTGATCTTATGGCTGTCGGAGACGTCATTGAAAACAACAGTATCCTGCCTCTTATAGTAATGACGGCGTAATTACTTTGAAGATTAAGGTATTCCAAGGAACGCCCAATTTCTCTATATTTCACTTATCTAAGCCTCGAGTAAACACTCCCAGTTAATATGCCTATACACCCTCTCACGAGCGCTTCGTCCGATGAGAGTCATAGTACCAACCAGGTAGTCTCACAAGAACGATGGTTGCCACTTAGATCGCCAAAAAAACAGAAGATGAGCCTGAAGGCGTTTCATCGGCTCGCCCCCAATTGTGGTTGTAGACAAGGGGGAGCTCGACCGACTGAGGCTTTTGACTGCCGGCCAAATGTATCAAATCGAAGTTTCCAGGGCTTAAATACAGAACCGAGAGTTGGAGATTGTGTCGGTCATAGTTGTGCTTTAGGGGTTATCGCCAGGGTCTTGGTCCTTCTCGGGAAGAGCAGTTGGGTATAACTTCAACATCTCCTTTCGCCACCATCGCTGAGCCTCGTTAAGCTTTTCATGATCCGTAAGCCAGCTGAAAGGGTATTGCTCCTCGTTCTCAAGGGTGTCCTCAATTGGGCAGTACGCCATTAGGACGTAATCGTCCTGGTTGAAACCGCGCATCCGGGATGTGGTGCAGTGCTTATCGAAGAAACGACGAAACTGACGGCCGCACATAAACGGAGTGATTGACACCGACAGCATTTCCGCCATGTTCAAGTGTCAACAACTAATGAGGACGCGGAAGGGATGCTTTAGGGGCAACGTGCGAGCAGTCAAGGTAATAGGACGTGCCTTGACTTACGGAAGAAGGAGGACGGGAGATAGGGAGAAGGATTAATGCTGGGATAGGTTCATCCTGAGAATGCCAGCTGCCATTTATGCCCAATTAAATAGACAGCGAACAATCCCGATGTCAGTCCCAGGCAACCCAGTGCCGTTGAACATTCCCTCACTCATGTCCCAGTCCCTCCTTTGTTTCTAGCATGAGCAAAGTGGACAAAACGATTCATTGTAAGGTAGAAACAAGCACTGAACCAAATGCTTTTTATCAATCTTCGCCGAAGCTCCATTGTTATGTTCTTTGTTCTAGTTGAGGCCTAGTCCCCAACGGCACAACTGAGCCGAGAGCTAGCCCAAGTGCCTTCTTATTGAACAAAGGGAAAATTCTCTCCCGCAGACAGCTCATCTAATCTCATTTCACCCAAGGCCAATTTCACACAAGAACGATGACCTGATATTTGTTACCACATTTGGGCTGTAGAACAACAACGCCACTGGCATCTGTGTAATTATGGATTGACAAGCGAGCTTACCTAGGGATCCGAGACGGCAGGTGTTTTGTTGAAACCAGGAGAGAAATCACGTCTCGGTCAAGTGGACGAGCCCAAGCGGGGAAAAACCTAAGACAAGCGGACGTCTAGGGCGTGTTAGTTTTGGGGTATCTTTGGTTATAAGGGGGAAACTCGCTATGGAGTTCTGGTTGGTGTGCTTGTCTTTTGCGTGATGAGAAAGCATCGCACACTGGGGGAGGCCTATGACAAGCGGTGGATGGCATCGCGCTGTGATGGCTTGGGACTAGGAAGGAGAGGTCACTATTAGAAAAGAAGGTTGGGACGACCAAGGAGAAAGGCTATGAGCATACTAACATATTTCTGATCTTAAATAAAGCCTCCGCCATATATATTATCAAATAGCGCGCTAAGGCGGTCTTCGGGCTTAGTTAACCTATTAAGGGCTAGGCTATAACTATAATAAAGAATAGATCTTAAATATAATATAATATTATAACCTAATATTAATATAATAATTTAATTAAATTTCTATAATAATAAAAGAATTATATTTAGCTATATTATTATAAAAATCTAATCTCTTATAATTATTTTAATTATTTTAATTTATATATAAGAAATAAAAGATTTTTTATTTTTTATATTTTTTTAAGCTATAATTTCTTAATATTATAGCTTTAAACTTAATATTAAGAATAATTATTAATTAATTATATAGCCTTATTATTATTAAATATAAAAATTAATATTTTTTTAAAAACTTTTTTAAGGCTTAAAATAAAATAGTATTAAATAAAATATAAAATTATTATTAATTTATAATATTAATATAATAATTAAGCTTTATAAATAATAAGCCTTTTTTAATAATAATTATTATTTTAAGTTAATTATTTTAAATATTAAAATAATTTTTTTATAATATTAAAATATTTAAAAATATTTAAAAGATTTAAGTATTTTATATAATATTATTAATTATTAAAGCTATATAAGCTTTAAACCTTGATAATTTTAAAGCTTAAAAATTACGTTTTTATTATAACTATAAAAAAAATATAAGCTAAATTAATAATTTATTAAAGCTAATTATAATATTAAAATTAATATAAAAATAATAATAAAATAAGGAAGCTAATTATAAAAGAAAGATTAAGGTTTTTAAGTTATTAAATTATAAAAGTAATTTAAATTATTAAGAAAAAAAAAGGTTTTAATTATAAAGATAGAAAAATTTAAGTAATAGAGAAATATAGGTTTAATTAGAGCTTAAATATAATATCTTAGTAAATTACTAAACTTATTAATTGGCGTATATATTATCTTTGAATATAATATTACTATGTCTTTATTACCCTGTAAGTCACCTAAACCGACTTTCGCATGCCGAGAGCGACCGTCAGAACTGCCAAGATTGGATTACCTTAGGAATTAAGAACTGGTGGAGCATACCTGACCGCAGATTCTCTGTTGTGACTCTTCCAGGACATAGCCTCTGTTTTTGTTTCCTGGTGGTGATTGGAGTAATAACTTGTGATTGCCTTCCTTGTTTCTGGGTAGACTATTCACGCATATATATTCAATCTGGTGCATAATCCGTTCTTGATTATTCCCATTCATCCTCCTATTGCTATTTCGTGGGAGGATGGTTGGACTCTTGGAAAGCCGTGATAATAGGAGTCTATCTAAGTGGGCATATCTATGTGCACAGCTTTTAGCCCTAGGACACAGCATTGGGATACACTGGGATAGTAACTTATGGGCTCGAAACTGAAATTGTTCTATTACGCCTCCATTCGTGTTCTCTACCCTCTGGAGCAAATCCTTGTAAGATTTCTGATTGGATTTGCAAGATGTTGGGCTAGTGTCGAGGCACTTTGGCCTAAAACGAGAAACCTACCACCCCCTGGTGAGTGCAGGGCACTCTCCACTGGGACCTAATCCTATCTACCCCTTGGCTGTATTTGCACAGTTGGGAGCGACTTGAAGAACATATGCTGTGAATTCTTTCCTCGAGCACTTGAGGTGTGCCCAGCGCCATCTACGTTGCCATCAGCGTGGGGTTTGGAATCTCATCACCGTAGCAGAATAGCCTGTTCTAACCGCTTTCTGGAATTAGTGTCTACTCATGAATATTGTCGACAAGAGACACGTCGTGCAGCGTGGAGGCCTCTGGGTACCGCACGATAGGGCCAGAGATGCCAACCAAAATATCTATTACTCTGCCTGGCAGGAACCAGGTCCTGAGGCATAATTTGAAGGTGCTCTTCGAGTCATGGCGCTATCAACAATCGGTGCCTTGCTTTCTGGGCTTGGCTTCATGGAATTTCGGTGGGTTGAATGCGTATTATGCTATGTTTTTCGTGATAAATCTAGATATTTTCTTAGATGAGGAGAGGTGTTGCCTCAGTACACAGTGACAAATGGTTGCCACATGAATCGATCTAATACTATTAACGAATGGCACCTGAAGAAGCTTTATGGCGAAGTCATGCCGGTTTGTAGGCAGGGCTCTCAGCTGTCACCGCCCCTTGGCAGTGGTTTGGGGATTGAAGAGCCGGCTCATCTTCATTTATCCTGCTTTGTGACTTCTCAGGCATTCCTTTGTGAACTCAGTGACGTTTAAAAACAAGTCATTAGGCACCACAACAAAGAACATGGTTTTTGAAACATTCCTGCGTTAAAGTTAAATCCATCGTACCCCCCCGCAACCTTGTCTAGAACCATGACAAGGTCACTGAGCCAGGCTGAGATCTTCTAAGTTGCTAGGGAAGAGGTGTGTCAATTCAGACTCGCCATTAATGTACGGAGACTGCCCTCTTCTCACAGCCCTAGTAGTGACAATCTGCCTTGATAATCTCAGCCGAAACGAACCTCATATGGCCCAAGGCCTTTCCTACGTGACTCTTGCCGTGGTAGTGGGACCGCGAGGGTGACGTTTACTGGTTGATTGGATATGGACGAAACGGTTTATGATGTTATAATGTGTTGAAGATCTGTTCTTTATTACAGTTGCAGCCCGGCCCTTGATGGGATAAGGACGAAAGTTGTTTGACAAGGCATTGGAAAGGAGTTTTCCCATGTTTCGAAACCATCCAGTAGACGTCTTCTGTACCTTGACCTATATTTGACTAGCAACTAGCCCACGTAATCCCCTGTCTCCCAGCCCTCGCCATGTACCCAGTACGACCATAGCCTGCTGATGGCCAATTCGGGCTAATTCCTCAAGGCTACAAGAGCCAAGATATGACTTGCAGAAGATCAAGTCACTTACGCCTTCAGGAACTTGAGGAAGTACCGTGCTTGGACGAGAGCTGCCTGGACCGCCAAACTCGCGGGCTTTCTCCTTCAAAGTGGTTCCGGGCTTTGGACCTGCGCCCGATCATCATTCTCACAGGATAACACATGTTCACATGTGTGCTGGTTTTGTACCTTGGCTGAACGTCTGTAATCCCGTGGACCTTTCGTTGATCAGGCTATGGCACGCCGAGAGGTTCTGCTCCCCTGTCTCCTCATCCGGAGCCCCGTCAGCTGGACATGTAAAACGATCACGCAAGACGATGTCGGGATTCCTATCCTGTTTTGGGCTCATCTCTTAAGTCGCGGCTGGATGAAGTCTGAAATTCTTGACAGCCCTAGTAAATATTGCACGGCATGACCCTCTATCTGTCATCTTTCCAACCAAGTAGGCTTTGCAAGCGATCCGGTTCTTGCTTGTTGCCACCTTAGATACCGTGCCAGCCCACCGTGAGATATCAATCAATTCGTCTCAAAAGTGTTCCGACTTGATTTATTTGCCGACGGCAGCTGTAACCAATTCTAGAGGCTGCGGTGCGAGCCTTGCTTGACGAGTTGGGGTACCCACCCATTGGTTATGGTTCTTACTGGAGCTGCCGCCAAACAGTATCGTTAGGTGTTATAACTTCACGGTACAGAGGGTGCATGGACTGATGGGGAAGGATGTAAAATTCTGCTATTTGAAGACGCCAGGGTGGCAAGAAGGAGACAGTGACAGCGCTCTTGGACGACAAGACCATCTTGGATGGTGTCACGAGGCACAACTGTCTTTAGTTCGAAAAGGAGAGGCTTGGATAGGATATTAGCATCACAGAGCACAAGTTCAAACTTGTAGAAGCCATGGAAATGGCTTGTGTAGGCCGTCTTCTAGAATAATTCGAGGAGGGTACCACTACCAATACAGCCTTGACCAAGTGTGCCTTATTTGGGCCTGAAAGACCGACAAAGCTAGGAGGGATTTCTCGCATGCTTTACGTATGTAAGATAGAGGGTAGGGTATTGATGTCCTTATGAAGGAGGGCTGAAAGGGTGACAAGGTCACGACTGAGATAAGGAATTGGTAGACGGAAATCATGTACGGAGAGATTGATCACAAGTGGGCGGCTGTTGTTTCGTCAGGGACCCAACATAGGGGGCAAAGGGTAGCTAATTAGGAGTACCTAGACGAAGAAGGAGACACTTCAGATCAAGCCAACTCGGTTTCGCGAAGTATACTCCTTGGTGACACTGACTCCTGGACATTCTGGCCCAAAGACGTATCTTCGACAGGCCCATCCACACTCTTGTCCCTATTTCACTGCTACACAACCAGGCTCCCGAGGTTTCTAAGGTTAGCTACACGATGAAGCGGGTGGGAAAAGGCTAAGGAGTCTTTGTGTCTCCTCCTTTCGGGTCGTGCCCATTTCTCCCGAGCCTTCTGCCTACTTGATCGTTTTTGGTGATGAAACTGAGTCCGGTGGCGGGAGTTTTCAACTCTGACCAAGGTATACGCACCATTGATCGCTCAGCACGGTGCGTTCAAGGTCAAATCCCATCCCCTGCAACTGACTCACGCGGGCGTTTCCATCCGGCGAGTCTATCTCACTTACCAGCTTCATCATGTCATTCTTGATATAATTGCAAAGGAAACCGGATTGTGTCTCATGCCTCTAGGTGGCTCGATCACACACGACGTTGGGTCCTCCAACAGCAAAGGGTATCGAGAGTCACTGGGGATATACTTCAGACATATGATTGCTATGGAACACAATCCCCACTGTAGAGGAAGACACATTCTGCTATTTGCAGAGGCATTTGGGCCTTGTATGCTGCTCAACAGCTGCCAAGCACGGCTTATTGGCTACGGAGCTCAGGGTTCGAAACCGGCGAAAACGATGGACGGTGAGAATATAGACCTGACCAGAATGAGAGAAAGGCGAGTCGTAACGTTGCCGCCCTAGGTCTTTGCGATCAACGCCGGCTTTGTAGATTGCATTCAAGGGACCGGGGCCAAGATCTAGGATGCCACGGGGAAAATGTTGAATATTTATGGTGCCCCAGTTCGAACATTTCGCGTCGCCAATGAAGGAGAATGCGATGTTCTTCCACCACCAGGTTACAAGGTATCTGGCACGCGCCAGAGATTTTTATAAATTGTCGCAAAAGAGTACCGAAGAGTTTGCCCGGCCAGCTTGTACGTTGTTTCTCTGGTTACCGTATCGACTCAACACATCCGGACTGGACGGTGGGTCTTGGTACCCTTGCAAGCGTCTCTTCTGCAATGCCCGATTGGCCATCCCACAGCTCTGTTAGAGTTAGGGCAGTTAACGTCTCTAACAATAAGTCAATGGCTTGCATAGAGCCAACGAGCTGCCTTTGACAGGGGTGGTTAGACCCACCGTCGAGTCCGGATGTGTTGAGTCGATACGGTAGCTTTTCTCCTTGTCTCACGTGCATCTGTGTATCTGTTTGTACTCTGGGCATATCTTTGTCTTGGGTGCGTGTAATTCATGGACCGCCGCCATCAGAGTCCTCTCTTGAAACACTTTTTGTCCGTTTCAATGTGTTCTCGCGCAGGTGTCCCACTCAGGGCCGGGCTTCATTTCTCTTTATTATAAGGCACTTGATAATTATATCTTTTTCTAAGCTATGTCATAACGTTATCTACCTCACGGGTTTCTTTGCTAGACTACTTGTTCCATGAAAGTACCCTAAACCTGATTCTTAACCACTCGATTTGTCATACTTTAACGTTGGAACATCCCTGACACATCGATTTGTAATACCCTAACGTTAGTACATCCCTGATATTTTATGCTCCATCGAGGCTTTCGCCATGACGAACGAAGGTATATCCCCGCATTGTTCCGCAGGGCATCCGCTGTTCTCAACCAATTGTGAACATAGCTGGGGATAACGTTACCTTTCTTACCGGTCTCGATTGCACAGCACCGTCACACCCTATAAAAGAAAGAAGGCATCGCTGCTTGATCCACATTGAAGAAGAACTGACACGATTTCTCTACCACTGGATAAACAAACATAACACCTTACAGACAACCTTACAGACAACATGGCCTACCCACGCACCTGCCGCGCGTTCCGTCGCACCGAACCCCCCTATCCTCTTGCTGTTGTACCGTCCACCGAAACACTCCCAGACACACTCGGCCCTCGCGACGTCGTCATCCGCGTTCATGCAGTGTCGCTCAACTTCCGCGACGTAGCCATGCTGCACGAAGGCCGCTACCCCGCGCCGGCCGAGCCCCAAGGCATATCTGCGTCAGACTGCGCGGCGGAAGTTGTGGCTGTGGGTGATGAGGTGAAGCAATTCAAGATTGGGGATCATGCGGCCCCAGTCTTCAACATGAGCAATCTGGACGGCACGGAAAGGGATATTGAGGCCGTGGCCCTTGGTGGCGACGGCCCCGGAGTTCTCAGGGAATTCGCGGTATTCGAAGACAAGTTCCTGGTGAAGCTTCCGCAGCATTTGTCTTGGGAAGAGGTAAGTCGGGTCCTGAGAGTTGTCCAAGGTGGTTATATCGCGTGAGTTGTTGACCTGAATAGGCATCAACGCTCGCGTGTGCAGGATTGACAGCTTGGACGTCGCTCGATTCGCTCAAGAGTCCCAACGAGGACACTACTGTACTGCTACAAGGTGATTCAACATATCGTTGCGTTCTGTTATTGTTTAGCTGACCTCAGAAAGGCACTGGCGGCGTCAGCATGTTTGCCCTGCTGATATGTCTTGCGGCCGGCATCAAGCCAATTATAACTTCATCTTCGGATGCGAAGCTTGAAAGGGTTAAACAGCTTGGTCGTGATGTCCAAGGGATCAATTACAAGAAGCATCCGGACGTTGCAGCGGAAGCCCTGCGGCTCACTGGTGGCAAAGGGGTAGACTACGTTGTTAATAACACTGGGCCAGCTTCCATTCCCTCCGATTTGCAGTCCTTGCGTAAGAAGCACGGGACCATTTCGTTGGTAGGGTTTCTGGAAGGCTTCGAGGCCGACTGGAAGCCCAGCCTGCTCCTCACTGTTCTATCGAAGGCCGCTAAGATTCAGTAAGTTATCACACAGCACGCTCGTTGCTTTCCTTCCAGCAATTGGACTTTTACTGATGCTTCGATTAGGGGTATTCAGGTCGGGTCGAAGAAGCAATTCGAGGAATTGAACAAATTTTTGGATGAGAAGAAGGTTCGGCTTGACTCAATAGTCGATAAAACATTCGCTTTCGAGGATTCCGCTGCAGCGTTCGACTATCTTTACTCAGGAGCACACACGGGGAAGGTGGTGATTAAGATTTAGATATGCAACATGGCTCAGTATTCCTCAAAAACAGAAGCCAGGGGAACGGCGCCTCAACCTTCTAAAGCCAATCTCGGCAGCATTAGTATAGTTCTTCAATTGACTAAGACAAGACGACGGATCTATTACTTTATCATTGTCTGAGATGATAACAAGAAGCCATGAGGCACACCAGCAAAAAACACAGTCACGGATCCACAACCGTTATCTCTGGTATTGAAGATTGCCATGGTACCTAGTTAAGTGTCGCGCAGCGATAAGACTAGATTTGCCTCGGTACATCTTTCACTTTTGCCAACCCTGCAGCGGTCTAATATGTTTAATACAACGCAATTTCTATTAGAATTGGCTGGGATAGGCTTGGTGACTGGTCGAGAAGTTGGTAGTGTATATATATTGAACCCACAACGTAGTTCCTTCATGTCTAGTTCAGCTCCCTACCAAGGACTTACTGGGACTGGTTCAGGAGAAGAGGCCCTGTGCGGACCTGCCATACCGTTGATGGCTAAAACAAGGGATCTAAGTTGTGCATGCCACTACCCACCAGCCGCGGTCCACTATAACGCTCGAGACCTCACAACTTGCCTCTCAATGATTGAGGACCCTTTAAGGAAACCTAATAACAATCTTGATGTCCTCCCGCCGCTCGAATCGCTGGTAATACTTCGGCGCCTCCTCGATATTGATCTCACGGTCGATAATGAAGCTCGGTCGTGCTTTGCCGGTCGAGATAAGATCTGAAAGCATCGGCGCGTAAGACTTGTGATCCACACCACCGGAAGTGAAAGACAAGCGCTTGTCGTGGAAACTAGCAAGTGGAAAGGTGATGTTGGGAGAAATGGTGGAACCACGAGGTGTGCCAGGGGTATCGGGGAACGCAGACGTGACGCCAACCTGACCAATACCTCCCCCTATCCTCGTAACGGCGATCATCTGCCTGATGATGATGTCTTGCTCGATTTCGAGATCACGATTAAACGCCTCAGCACCTACGCAATCGACGGATCTAATCACTCCGCCGTTGGGTTCGTAGCGCAAGATCTCTTCAACGGGATCAGTGTCGACAAAATTGATCGGGACCGCACCGATGGACTCGGCGAGATCAAGGCGTGACTGGACATAGTCTACGACGTAGACCTTTGAAGCGCCACGGATGATAGCCGAGTGTGCAGACAGAAGACCGACAGGGCCAGCGCCGAAGACGGCCACCGTGTCGCCGGGCTCAAAGCGGGCAAAGTCGAGTGCGGCCCAGCCAGTGGGAAAAATGTCAGACAGAAAGAGGTAATCGACGTCGCGAGCACCACTGCTGGTGCTGGTGCTGTTGGTGTTGTTGGCTGCTCTGCCAACCTCATTGGGTATCGGGATAAGACTCATGTCGGCGTAGGGAACCCGGACATACTCGGCTGGAACAAAATCGTTTAGTAAAAGGCATTCTCCTTTTGTAACGCAGTGCAAATAGTGTGCCAAAAGATGAGAAAGGGAAGTGCAGAAGAAATGAAAAGAGATAAAGACGATCTGTTGGTCAATCGTACCTTGACAGCCACTACCATCCTCATCACCCCAGGTCCGGCCTAATCCAAAACCAACTCCCATCTCCAAACCATCCATTTCTAGATGTCCGCTGTCCGTACCTCCCGGGATGACGACATAATCGCCGACCTCTACGTGCGCCACAGCTTCGCCGACTTCCAGGACGTAGCCCATGCCTTCATGGCCCATGGTCCAAGGCACCTCTGGGCTACCATAGAGGCCGCGGTAGATATGAAGGTCACTACCACAGATTGCGGAAGCTGTAATCCGGACAAGAGCATCGGTTTCGGCTAAGAGGGTGGGGATTGGGAGAGAACGGATGGGCATCTCGAAGGGGACACCCTCCCAGACGACGCCTCTCATTGTGCCATTAAGCGCCATGGTGTTATGAGTCGATGAACAATCACAAAGGACTTGGTGCTTTGCGAAATCCGGGACCAAGTCCAGGTAGCATCAACACTTACTTATACATTGCGAGTGTTTTCCACCAGCGCTCTCCTTTACTCCAAATCGTCCCGATTCTCTCAAGTTCGATTACTTGCGTACAGGTCTAAGCCCCTGATGACGCGTTGCTTCATTAGTTATCAGCTTGGCATCTTGGGACTGCCGACATACCTCTCTTTGTGCTGCACTAGGCTTTCCAGACACTGCGGTGGAACAAGGTCACTATGCGCTCCATTGGGATCATGGAATTAAGCAGTTCATGTCCGTGGCTGGTCTTATTACTTCCAAGTTTAGCGTGTGATCGACCTGGGATGTTCCTCAACTCAGGCATCGGAAATCGTATTGCTGCAGAACCCTATAGTACATTTCACTGCTTAGAGGGACTTGAGTCTGAGGACAATGGACAAGGACTATGAAAATCCCGGGGAGGCCGGCCGTGTAAGCCCTGATGATAATTATTGGCATAGTGATCGTAGTAATCACCATACAAAAGAGGAACAATACGTAGTCATAACAGCAATACAAAAAGCTTCATCATATATTCATACCCGTTGGCTCATGTGGGTCTATCGACCCAGGCGAGCCAACCTAGCAAGCTAGGTTGGCCACAAAATTATGATACGGCCACAAAATTGTGATACAGACCCCGCACTTGGTGATATCCTTATTTACATGTAATTACCACCTATTTTAGCCGTATTTCACGACACCAACTGGTAAAAAACACCTCTCTTATATCCATCTTCATTATGCCGAGTGATGCGAATCTCAAGGCCGCCCGGGAAGTCATAGCATTACATGCGCGGTATACCCGGGGCCTCCATCGCAGCACCTCCACCGGCACAACTTAACCTCTCTCACTTCATGCCGCCAACGCCCGCTACCCCGGATCCTCCTTTGCCTCTATTCAGAGGATCATAAGAAGGCTAGAGACCGGATCTACGCCTCGTCAAGTCGGCAGACCGAGAGTCCTCATAGACGAAAAAGAAGAAGCTATCATAGCCTTCATCATCTAGATAGAAAGGTCCAGATTTCCCGCCTCCAAGCCTAAGATAAAAGATACCGCCACAACCCTCCGTCAGCGCAGGAACCCTAATGCCGATCCCGTCAGCAAGATATAGTATACTCGCTTCCATAATAATCATCCTAAGCTTAAGTAGGCATTCCTCAAAGCCGCAGAATAGTCTCGTGAGTCCTAGGAAGCCAGCGGTCTTAATAACCTTAAATAGTGGTTCAAGAACCTTACTAAGACCATCTAGAGTCATAATATCGGCGCCTCTAAGTACTAGAATACTAACCAGGCTAGTATTAAGATCGGGATCCTCAGGGAAAGCATCAAAGTCCTCGTCATACAGACAAAGCAGAGAACAAAGAAGCAGGTTCTCTCCCCTTCCAACCAGGAGACCTATACCCTCATCGGTACAGGCAGCGCGGCGGGTAATACAATGCCGCCGTGGCTTATCTTTAAGACATAGCCTACACTAGATTAGGCATATATAGATGCCGATCCTAATATCCGCTTCGCCTAGTCCAACACGGCCTTCTCCAACGGCGAGATTACTCTCGAGTAGATAATATACTTCAACCGGTATTCCTAGGCTAAATCCGCTAAGGCATAGCATACGGGAAAGACATTTAAGGAGTAATTTAGGTATAATAAGTTCCTCAGAGATCCTATGCGAAAGCATATTCAATATAACATTCCTCCTATCTCATAGGCCACTAATATAACTATCTAGAGACTTATCGTCTTTAATAGCTTCACGAGACATAGGGTCTTTGCTGTTAGAGAGTATTATGCTAAGTTCTATATTATTACAGCTCCCTTGCCGCCTCACTCTACGCATATGCTATAGCCGATAGATATTAGAGTCTTTTAGCCGCTAAAGAATACCCACCAGAAGCTTCTCGGCAGGTAGCTTCGAAAGGGAAATATCTCCTTCTCCCGCGCTAACTTCGTCCGCGGCTTTTAGGCAAGTTATACCTCTTCTTCTATATCAATAGACTCACTAAGTTAAAGCAAGAAGTCTTCGAGGAAGGATTCACAGCACACAATATTATCTCAGGCTTCGAGAAGTCAGGCATCTATCCACCAAATCCTAAGCCAGCGATAACATACCTAGCTAAGAAGCAGCTTCAGGCAAAGCAGGCCATTAACCCGGCCTATGCCTCCCTTCTCCCTAACGAATCTCACTTCTAGGCCGCCGTAGATACCGCCAAACGACTCTTAGACCGCTACAGCGATATCTTTAGCTCCCCCACGCATACCAGGCTTCATCAGATATATAATATTATCATAGAAGCTATGATTCTTAAATCTACAGTCACTGCCTATATCAATAACCGCCGGGCTCGGATTAAAAAGAGATATAACGCCAAGAAGAGAGGGAAAAGAGCGAAGCTAATAGGGGATTTCAATCACAACATTAGTCTACAGGAGATTCAAGAGCAGCAAGAGGAGGTTATCGCCGAAGCCCAGCAGAAGGAGGAGAAGGCACAGGTCCAGACCGCTCGCAGTCTCATCATCCAAGAGATAAAGAAGATCAAGGATCAATAGCGGCAAGAGAAAAAAATTACCATCGACGGCATAAAGAAAAAGGCATCATAGTCTTAGTAATTAGAGCACATAGGGAAGGATATTAAGTATTATTCTATAGAGACACAACGCTCGACTATGCATCAAATACTTACCTAAAAGCCTAACCCTTTTATAATAGATACGCAACTACCGCAGGAAATCAATAAAGCTATTCATAACGCCAGTTTTGCCCTGAAACCCCTCAGCGCGATAGACTAGACCGCTCTCGCAGGAAATAATAATAATATCACTTTCTAGCTCGAACCAGCTCCTACCGAGGAAGAAAAAGAAAAAGAGGAAAAAGAAAATAACGAGGAACTCCCTTTATTCGAGCCTCTATTGCGAATACCCTTATCGCCGCCGGTTATACCCTCATCGCCGCGGCTGCCATCTTTGCCACCTAAACCCCCCTCCACGCCATGCCCGATACGGCCTTAATACCATATATTAGGGATACAAAGGATCACGAGAATCATCATATGAGCAAGGGCCGCATAAGAAGCTAGCCCGGAGGGCTAAAAAGACGCTCTCATAGCTAAATTTATATAAGGAATCGTCTAGGAAGGCAGCGGCCTTAGAGGCTTAGGCGGCGGCTTCTATTATAGCTATTATCAATATTATTAATATCATTAATATTATCACTTTAGACATCGCTAATAGCTTTAACTTGCTCTTTTATACCTTCATAAATCACTCTGGATGGCTTCCAAAACTGAGAGACCGAAAAAGGCGGCTTTTCAAGGGGGAAATCAAGGCCCCACAATGTATCACAATTTTGTGGCCGTATCACAATTTTGTGGCCAACCTAGCTTGCTAGGTTGGCTCGCCTAGGTCGATAGACCCACATGAGCCAACGGGTAATCTCTTGGAACTACATATCTGAAATCCTACGTTCCGCAGCTCCAGAGGCCTAACATCAAACATACCCTAGTCCACAGGAATTCAAGCTGCCCCGTCACATCAGATGCTATTTCGGCTTTAATGATGGTTTTCTCACCTGTTTGACCACCCATGCTTCAGTGGCTTGAGTCTCAATACTGAACGCCAATGCCGAGTAACGAACGTTGGCGGAACATTAGCGGAATATTGGCGGAAAACTGATTAGCTGGCGGGGTCGAGTGAAAGTTCCGCGGCAGTTTTGACCCCGGTAACAAATCCACTCTCCTGCAAATGTCTGTTCCCATCGCCGAGGAGGTAATGTCTGCCCCCGATGGTCAGCGTATGCTGAAAAGCCCTAAGCCGGTATTAAATACGAGTACCTGGGCTAATACACACCAAGAGGTTGAGTGGAAAAAGTGACAAGTACCTCGAGGACATTATGGAATCGATGCCGGTTTCAAGGGGGCGCATGTTAACGACCGAGGTTCCGGTCCCAGGTCCCACCATCAGGAGACTGTCAGTCTCAACCTACTGAGTTTAGAAGATGCCAAGTGGTTGGATTACGACATGAAGAGCGAGTTAGGTCCTCATTGCCTCGTTTGGCTTCAAACTTCAAGGGCTGAGGGTGCGCCCATCATCAAGACAGGGTATCCCGGTTACTGCTACGCAGAGGGAAAGTCGGCCCCCAGGCTCATAGCCGTGCCATCGATACATGGCGGGCTTGCGGCCCAGCTGTCTAACTTTTCCCTCCCCATCAAAAGAGACATGAAGGCTGTCGAGAAGCTGTCGACTTCTGTGGGCACAGCAGTTGTTAAAAGCTCATCGACATGCAAACTTCTGACAAACAGAGGTTCTCTTCCACAAGCCAGCTCTGCCCATGATCCCGATGAAGTTGCATCCCATAAGCCCTGTGAGGCTGTAAACTTGATCTCTCCGGTGCATTCATTCCAGCCATCTCTTTCTCTGAAGTACGCTGCCAATGTGCTATGGCAAACAAGCCATGTGCGCCGTACACTTTCACTAAGAACCCATGCTCTCCAGTGTGGAAAGGTTGCCAGTTCACCCGTGGCATCAAGCCTGTTCGGCTCTGGGCTGCGAAAAAGTTGCATCTCGCGATCCGCATCCAAAGTGGCCGATTGCCAAAGCTGCGCGCACCATGTCAGCAGGGTTTGGATGCTGCTTTCCGCTAGAGCCCGCTGGCGTATGGAGCCATCATAAAGACGAAGATATTCGTATATAAAGAGGGCCTGAACTCGAGCTAGGTGTTCGATAGTCCCAAGGCCAGGGACCGCCATCAAAGAGTCATCATGGTAAATTTGTGTTTGCAGAAGCCTGTCGGCACGGTCTTCGATGATCTTCATGACTATATGCTCGTTAAGAGTCGTCTTGGCGAAGTAAGCAGTGAGCGTTGTCCAGGCCTCCTGGAGGCATTGTGGCAGGCCTGTGTCCAAGTAAAGCTGCTTGTGAATGAATGGATTACAGCCTTCTTCGACCCACTGCCGTAACCAATCCTCGAGGCTTGACGTCCAGCTTTTGTGGCCCAGGGAAACACGGATAGGCCCAGGATTGAAGCGGCATGTGCTTGTACCGGTATTGCGAATTGCCCAGGTCTCCAATTCCAGGAACCAGAGCCTGTGGGTGACCGTGGCGGCTGTCGGAGAATGTGCCGTTGGCGGATCCGATATGCCATGGCCTGTTGCCGTGTTGTCGGAGTCGGCTCGCCTTCTAGAGGCTTGCGATTGCACATGGCCCGCATACGGGATGAGAGCGTTCGCTGTACTGACCCTGTCTTGTCGCACAGATGCCGGAGGAGGAGCACGGCAGTATCTCCGGGTCGTCGGATATCGACAATCGAGGTTTCTCTCAGCACATCTTTGGCAATTTGGCATTTGTTTGTCGCATGTCCTTTTCGCCCTTGCACACCCGAGGCAGGCTTTTCTTTCACTCAGCGGAAGAGATGACATTATCGTCTGGTGGACAATGCGGGAAATTCGGCGGAAGACTTCTGGGGATGTTGGATATGGAGGATCATTGATGGGAGTTGATGGGAGCGGTGAGCGGGGTTGAAGACTCACGTGCCGGTATGACCGAGTCGTATGTGGCTGGTAATCCCCAGACAGCCGGAACTAGCTAGAGGAGACGTAGATCGGAGAGTCGTAGGGAGGGAGGGATGTAGAAAGAAATGTTGAGGGGAAGTGGCGGAGACCATGGCGGAAGTTTTGGCGGAAGATTTTTCCAAAGTTATTAGTCAAAGGTTTCACCGGCCCGTGTCATGATTACCGCATTAGGCAAAAAGGTCATCCACTCGGTTTCATTTATTTGCCCGAATGGTGGCTGGAAAACATCATGTACCCTGACCCATTGTTATTACACCTACTAGCGTTTTGCTCCGCCTGTCAAAGATAGATAGTACACTTTAACGTCGGACACCCCATAACCGACCGCCCAGTAGAACCGACCACCCTTTTATACTAAAAAAGCCGATTTTTAGGTATTTATAATTAAATAACTAAAATAACTATAAAAAGGATATGAAATAATAAAAATCTAGAATATTATAAAGAATAATAAAATATTTTTTAAAGGTTTTTTAAAGGTTTTTTAAAAAATCTGTTTAATTTATTAAGATTATTTTAAGTTTAGAAAAATTATTTATATAGGAATTACTAGTAAACTTTAAAATTCTATAATAAATTAAAGAAAAATAATATTAAAGGTATCTTTTGAATTTTAGCTTTATTAGCTACTTAATAATATAAAATAAAGTTTTTATATTTTAAATTACTTATATAAGCTTAATAATTAAGTTTAAAGAAATCTAAGTATAAATTATAAGAGAATCTTAAATATCTTATTATATAATAAAGTGAAAAAATAAATAGAAATAATCTTAAGATCTTTAATTTTTACTAGATTTAATTAAAATCTTATTTATAATTTTACCTTTATATTAGAAGTTTTATTAATAAATTAAAATTTCTATATAAAAAGCTTTAAAAAATTCTAATTAATTTAAAGCTAGAAAGTAATAAATAAAACTATTTTTACTATATAGATTTATTTTTTATATAATTTTATCTACCTATTACATAATCTTAGCTATTTTTATTAATTATTTATAAAGGTCTAAAAATCGGCTTTTTTGGTGTAAAAGGGTGGTCGGTTGTAGGGGGAGGTCGGTTGTGGGGTGTCCGACGTTATGCACTGGTTACAATGGACCGTTCATTGTCGTTCCTTGAGATTTCGGTGATGAACTTAGCCGAGTTGGAAATCATTGCGATGGACGTGCTTCATGCGCTTGCCTCTCGCATCGTCGTGATGCACTATACGTCTTGTTGTTACTATATCTGCCTCCCGGTTAAAATTCATGGAGACTTATACCGAGGGCGGCCGGTGATGGCCTATTGACGATAAACCTAATTCTCTTTTTATTCGTATCGAGGTTAGAGCAGTTGAATACCCACTAAGAGATTTTACCTTTCATAACGCAGCTAGGTAGAAGTCTTCTGCTACATGACAGCATCAAAGCCCAATGCAGTACTGTACTGTATGCAAATCTGATCTTGTATGCAGTTACTTTTACACTCTTTAAAACAGTGATAAGATTTGACGATAGGGCATTGCTTTACTTCGGTCTTATGAAGGACGCTCAGGTAATTTCTCTCCCTTCCCGTGACCATTTGTTTCTTCATCGATCTCCTACTATATTCAAGTTTTTCAACCTCATTACATACCCAAAAGCAGAACAAGGAAGCCCAGAAAGAGAAATACAGTTATCAACACAATGAAGCCACCACATGCCTCCTACCGTATGCCGATGAGAAGCCACCACCAATCGTATACCCTAATACTTGAACTCCTGGCCCACAAGCTTTTCGCTAAGCGTCCACATCATATCGGCCGAGACCTTACTCTGTACCCATGGCCAGACTTCCTCCGCATAGGGGTCAGCGACTCGAGAATGGTTCAAGTACGCGCCGTTGTGCTTCGCAATGCCCTGATCAAATGCCGCAAATACGTGGGTGGCAGCCCCTTGGTCCAGATCCTTGTAGAAAGGGGATCTGAACATCCACGACGTGCCGACTCGAGCATCAGCGGCCTGGAAGTCCTTCACGAAAGTGTCCATATCATGTGCCTCGTGGGCGGCGAGGTTTGTCCCGACGGAGCCGGGACACACGCTGAACGAGAGAAGCCCCTTCGAGCCGAGCTTTTCGGCCAGTGCGAGAGCCGTCAATGCATTTGCGGACTTCGACTGTCCGTACGCAGCCCATTTGTCATACAACTCTCCCTTGCTGAAGTTGTAGTCACCCCATCGGATGTGGCCTTGCCGATGTCCCATGCTGGTGACGATGACAATGCGGGGTTGCCTAGAGGATAGGATCTTGTCCAAGATCAAATTGGTGAAGAGGAAATGGCCAAGATGATTCGTTTGAAGCTGACTTTCAAAACCATCTTCGGTCAGACGGTATGGGACAGCCATGATCCCGGCGTTGTTCACGAGCACGTCGATGGATGGTATATCCGACCATGAATTGACGGCCTCGGCAGCTTCCCGGACTTTGGTGAGCGATGTCAAGTCTAAGGCGAGTGACTTGACTGCGATGCTGGGATGTTCTTTCGCAAGGGAATCAACGAGCTGCTGGAATTTGTTTGGGGAACGACCAGCGAGGATGAAGGCTGCAGGTTTGCCCTTGGCCACCTCCTTCACAAAGCTTTCGCCCAAGCTCCCAGGAGAAACGCCAGTAATAAGGATGGTCTTGCCCCTGATTTGGCTAGAATAGTAAGATACCAACTCGCTGGCGCGAGTAGTCTGATCGAATGAGGGAGCCATGGCAGACAAGAAGATGGTTGAGATGGGCGAGTTGAATCACAATTTGATCAAGAAGAACCGAGTCGAATGAATGCAGTTTTGATGCATAGGTAAAGTAGTACCTGAACATGATCCTTTTATAGTTCCTTCCAGATGCCCTGACGTCCTACAGCATCGCGTGGCTTCTTTGGTGACGTACGGTAGGTTAGAGCCCCAACCTATTTGGGTATAGCGGGAATTGGGCGGAAGATTGAACGCACAACGGAACCGAACTTAGCGGAAGACTCGACGGAAGATTTGACGTTATGTTTCCCGAGGCAACTACGCTAATTAATCATACCAGGTCGCCCAATGCTTTCCCATTCGGCGTAACAAGAGATGCCGAACCAGGACATGCACCTTCTGAGCAGCGTCCGGAGTTAGGAGCATTTACTACGCCCGAAAGTGTATATGGCCTCTCGTATACCTAACACCGGTCGTAGGCCGTACGATTGAAGGCTGACGGTTTGGATCGTCATGAAATCGGTGTCAGATCACGAGTTGATCAGAAATGCAATCGCCTCGAACTGCGTAGTTTTCGATAGCAAGAACTGGTCTCTCATAGACCAATGTTTTACTAAAGACTGCGACGTGGATTACCCGCAGCCTTTGGGTTCGACAAGAGGAAGACGAAAGTATGCGGAAAGGATTGAAAAGGCTATTAGGCACTTGCAAACGCAGCATGCTTTGGCGACACAAATCATCAAACTGTCGACTAGTACAACAGCGAAGGCTATGGCTTCCTATCGAGCTATCCACTTCTTGGACGGAAAGCACTTTTATGCGGAGGCTAAATATAATAATCAACTAGTCAAGTATCTCAATGAGGGGCAGGAAAATGGTTCATTAGAGAGAGAAAGGTCGCGACTATGGGAACGCCGCGAGGAGACTGGTCTCTTCTTCATTAGATGAGTTTTAATGCTACTTATTCCATGCTATTGATAGAATCCCTCGCGCTACATCAACCGGCTTTATTACTGTCTCCCATGACGAGTCCGCGAGAGGCCGCCGACCACAACAGCAAAAGATACAGCTATTAATATGACAGAGTCAAAACCTAATGCCGTATGAGCCGGTTTCCTCGACCAGGTGAAAGAACCCGGTGAGGTCATTATCGACGCGTTGGAAGACCACTCCAGCTGTGCCACCCTAGTGGAATCTCCCTGACCTCGTTGTTTATTTAGCGGTGAACCTTGACCTGGCCCTTAATGCTGAGCCAAAAAAAAAAACCACAAGCCAAAGATACCAAGAGCACCCCTAACAGTCAATCCTGCGAGTAGAGATACGCCTCGCTCTACTCCTAGATTATGAAACAAAGGCCAAGAGAAGTGGATAGCGCCCGCTGCGATGGAGGACCGAGCAAAGTCGTTGGCGGCAAACTGTGACGCGGCGTACTGGGGGTAGTTCAATGTAAGGTAGAACAGAAGACATTGAAATAGTGTGTAACTACCTGAGCAGGAATTCGTTAGCATCAGAGTACATCAGCTGCGAATGAACCCACCGATATTCGTGATGGTCACGCCAATGGTGGGAACAAGGGTTAAGTATATCCCGTCCAGGCGAAGATGAACAATCCGATCGGGAAAAGAAAGCTTGCTGTCAAGGCTGGTAAGAGTCGTCTCTCGGGCTCCCCGGGGCCATGTTGACGTATCTCGGGTTCATAAACAAAGTACAAGTAAAGGGAGCAGAAGATGACCCCAAGACCGACCCCAACAACGTTGGCCAAGAAAATCAAACCGAGTTCGCCAGCATTCATCCCGTAACCATGGGTCTGGGTGCCAGGATTACCTCCCGCGTAAACCAGAGGGAATACCTCAAAGAATGTATAGAAGACGCCATAGAGCAATCCACTATAGACGCTCGTGAACAGTACGGCCGGGTCAAGGGCGTTGATTTGAGTTGGTCGCCATAAAGAGTAGACAACAACTTCGCGAAACGTCATGTTGTGCTGGTCGATCTCCGATTGAGATGCGATATTCTTGTTACCGGTCAACTTCCTTAGTCAGATCGCTCGTCGATGAAGGATCGTAGACGGCGACGTTTCGGGGAGGAGGACAAGCATCGCAACATACACGGGCGCTGCAAACCAGAGGAGTTCCCACATCGACCAATGCCAGTTTTTGGCAGGGACGGAGAAGCCACTGATGATTGATCCCAGAGGCGGACCGGTAGTTGCAAAGCCGGCCCAGCCTGCGAGGAAATAAGGCAGCTTAGCCATCGAAAAGATATCACCAAGAGTAGCTCCTCCAGTTGCTAGACAGGGGCTGCCCATGAAGCCTTGGAGAAAGCGAAGAACTGCTAGCCCGGGCAGGTTATTGACCATCGCGGCGGGGATCGAGAGAATGACAAATAATCCCATGCTGACCATGTACGGGGGATTGCGCCCCAAGGCAGAGATTTCGGAAGGAGGCGAGAAGAGCAATGGCCCAACACCATAGCCGAGGACGTACATGGACAGAGTGAGAGACGCAGCGTTTGCAGACACTCCCATCTCTTCCTCGATGTAGGGGCCAGCTGGGGTGATTATGGCGGAGCCGGTGTAGATAGCCAAGCTGTAGACATAGATCAGACAGACGACCAGTGTTCGTTTCCTCGCGACCAGTTCTGCGGGTTTTCCGGATCATCTTTACCATACCAACCCACCACGATCTTATCGTTCGCTCCAGCACCGCTGCGGGTCGGCATAGCTTCATCTTCGAGTGATTCATTCCGCAAAGTACGGATCTCTGCCTCTTCAATGGGGCTGGTTGGATTTGTCTGCAATGACTGGACATTTTGCGGCGAGGTTGATTCGTCAACGCTTGTTGGAGCTGTACCAAGTGCACCAGCTGCACTTATAGAGTCGTGTAGCCGTTCACTAGGATCTATCTGGCAGTCGTCCTTCGTATCTGGAGAGATAAATGGCGCGGGCTCGGTGATGAGATATTCGGGTGGACATCGAAAGTCTGATTTCTCTTCGGGGAACAAGAGGTACGCGTGGCCGGGAAGAAGGCGGATCAGTTGGCCAACGGTCAATTCTCGTAAGAGGTCTGACATAGTAAGTTGTCTTGAGGGACACAAAATTGTCAAAGGTCAAGGTACGTGAGTGATGGATAAGTGCCTCTGCTTTGGTTGTGTACGAGCTTGGTGAGACCGTGGGCGACTGGTAATAGTCTTTGTATGAGTAATAGAGAGACAGGAGAAGAGATGAACAATACGCCAGCTTCTTGTGTGTTGCTATGGAATCACTTATAGGGAAACCATGGCTGAGAAGGACTTTCGGTAGGGGGCCTTGCTGGCTCCTAAAGCTAGCTGTATTCGGTGATAATGACAGGTCCACAGTGTATGGCCAACCGTGAAAGAACAGTGCTCTAATGCATGGCTGACAAATTGGTGATGAAATGTTGTGCCGAGACGGAGTGCGAAGAGACCCCGGTGGCTGAGTGGTAATTGCAATAGGCAATGCCCGTAATGAAACGCCCTGGAGTGTCAGACGATCTTGGGGAATTCCCAGAAATGGCGGTGATAGTAGAGGTCACACGTATCGAGACGGTTGAACCCTATATGCCAAGCTCTTCAATAATCCCCGAGAAGATATGAATTTCAAGTTGTTGGATTGCTTGAGAAGCGTGTATCTTGCCGGAAAGGCTGAGGCATCAACAGACTCTTTAGAGACGCAACACTCATTACGCATGGTGTCGAGCTCGTCGACATTCAGCAGTCGGGGATCTGAGTGCTAGAGGTTTAGAAACTCGAGATCTTGCGTGGTATGGGTAAAGAAGCGACAGGTTTTGCATCATGGTAGATTTCATTTCCAGCTAATGGGCAGTTTCCCACACCCAAGCCTACTTGCTCGTATTCCAATGTAGTCCATAAGCCATTAACCTTGCTTTCCATGACCAAAGTACAGCACACGCCCCTATTCAACATCATCTAACCATGACAGATCCACTGACTGAAGAGTAGGGGCAGACTCCCTAAAGAACCTCAATGTGCGTTGAGCTAGCCAGGTAGGGTTCTCATCAGGTATCCAGTGACCGGCTTTTGGCGCTACATCAATGTCTAGTTCCGCTGAAACTGGGCCCCAAATTTGTTGCAAAACATCCCGAGGGGCCATGCTGGCCTCGCCGCCGATTGCCAAAAGCGGCATTGGTAGCGCACTACCACCCTCGTTGGCACGCAGCTTCGACCGGAAAAAGTTTGCGTCGGTGCTGAGGGATAACGCCGAGAACGGTCCTATCAGTGCTCGCAGAAAGCCGGGCTTCCGGATAGTCGTAGTATAACGGTCCAAAATATCATCCGGTATGGCCTGGGCTCCAACGAAACTCCCGTGCCAAAAGTACCAAGAAAGAAACTCACGTTCCCGCCCACGCATCAGGAACTCTGCACTATCCATAACAGCAAAGAGAGACAGGTGCCAATTGGAATTCAAATCCCATGAATGCTGCGGATAACTTGCTTCCTCATAACCAAAGCCAGGAAGCATGTACTCGGACACAACGACGGCGGGAAGCAAGAATGGCTTGGAGGCGGCCAGGGCAATGGCTGCACTGGATCCCTTATCATGGACTAGTATGAGGGTTTGAATTTAGCCCAAGTATGACAGGAGACCTTCAATGTCCGACGCCCGTGACGCCGCATCGTAAAGGCCGTCTCTCGGGAGACCTGATTCACCGCTGCCACGATTATCTGGAGCGATAACGGTGTAATGTTATGCCAACAGCGGTCCAACCAGTCGCCAGGTCAACTTTGAGTGAGTTATTTAGGGTTAGAAGGGTATCGGTAGTCAAACTCACGCTGTGCTGCGGGTTGCCCATTGTGTTCAAAGATAATATATGCGCTAACCATTTAGCAATTCGCCGAGATATTATATTTAAGCTCTAACTAAGCCTATACTCCTATTAACTCACCCTAGTAGCCACTACCTAAACCTTTTTATCTTTATAATTAAAACCTTTTTCCTTCCCTTTAAGTTACTCTTATGACTTAATAACTTAAAAACCTTAATTCTCTCCCTTAATTTTTTTATTTTATTATTATCCTTCTATTAGCTTTAATATTATAATTAGCTCTAATAGGCTATTAACTTAGCTTATATTACTCCTTATAGCCGCGATAAAGGGGTAATTTTTAAGCTTTAGAATTATAAGGGTTTAAAGCTTATATAGCTTTAATAATTAATAGCGCTATATAAAGCGCCTAAGTGCCTTAGATACTCCTAAGTGCTTTAATACTATAAGAAATACCTTAGTGCCTAAAATAATTAACTTAATATAATTATTATTATTAAGAAAGGCTTATTATTTATAAAGCCTAATTATTATATTAATATTATAAATTAATAATAACTTTATATTTTCTTTAATATTATTTATTTTTAAGCTTTAAAAGAAATAAAAACAAGATATTAATTCTTATACTTAATAGTAATATTATATAATTAATTAATAATTATTTTTATAGGTATTAAGTTTAAAGCTATAATATTAAGAGATTATAGCTTAAAAAGATAAAAAAATAGATAATTCTCTTATTTCTTATATAGAAATTAAAGTAATTAAAATACCTATAAAAGGTTAGACTTTTATAATAATATAGCTAAATATAACTCTTTTATTACTATAGAAATTTAATTAGGCTATTATATTAATATTAGGTTATAATATTATATTATATTTAAGATCTATTCTTTATTATGGTTATAGCCTGGCCCTTAATAGGTTAACTAAGCCCGAAGATCGCTGCGGGTTGCCGTGGATAAGTAAAAGCGGCGGGCCAGAGCCTACATATTACGGCCTAACATGTCCCCTATCACGTATCATTTCATTCCCCACATTTTCCCTTCCTAAACGCACCAACCATAAGAGACCTCACTTCTACAAGTACGAGGCCCTCACTCAGACCTCACTTCTACAAGTACGAGGCCCTCACTCAGACCTCACTTCTACAAGTACGAGGCCCTCACTCAGACCTCACTTCTACAAGTACGAGGCCCCTTATATATATATAACAATCATTACACCTTAGATAGATACTTAGCCCTCAAGCTATCAACAGACTTCAATTACCTTCAAGACCTTCTTAACCCATTACTAAGACGTAATTCCCCCATTGCACAGCAACGCCGAGACTCTCTGCCAACAGTAAACCCAGCACGCCCGGTTTATTCCCTTGGAAAACTCTAGACGTCACACTGCATAGCGGAAATGCAAATTGACCTGGTCTAATTGAACTCGACCGTGCTTCCACTCATCAAATAGTAGATTGTCGGCTACGGAGAGGCCTATGAAAAGGAAAAGACGCATAATAACATTCATTATGGAGGAGACTGTCGTGGGATTTGTTCCGGCAAACTCGCTTGGGAGGACGTTGGTGTGCAAATACCACGGACTCGGCTGCTTTTGTGGTGCAGTGTAGAGCGAGATTGACGAGTAACGACTTCTTCACAAAGACATACCGCCGCCAGCAATGTCGGACCACTCGCTTGGGTCGAAATATGGGCTTGGAGTTAATCAGCAAGGCCCATTTTCGGCCGAACGACGGACGAGGAGCACGGAGTCGGAATGACTCAAGAGACGATCTCTCCCGTAGCTTCACACACCGTGCGAGCTTGGTTTATTACCACTCACTCCCTGTACAGCATATATAGAGGGCCGTGGGCCCTTTCCGGGACTGGCATCGACAAATCCACCGTCATCCATCCCAGCAAGACAAGCACCCAGGCGCTCCAAGTCCTGATAACTTAAGCCCCTTTTATTTATCTCCCTTGCTTCAAAATGGTTGACCCAGCTTTCGGAAAGCCCACCTTAACTCTGTGCCAAACTTCCAAGTTACGCTTGACCATGCCGAAGGTGGTCCTATGAATCTTCACTTTGCTGCCCTGTTCTCTTGCAAAGAGGGTGCGCTTCCTGTCCTTTGTATGCATAGTTGGCCGGGTGGCTTCTTCGAGTATTTGCCCGTTATGTATCTACTGGCCCAAAGGTACATACCGGAGGACTTGCCCTATTATGTAATCGTTCCCTCGATCCAAGGATTTGGGACATCGACTGCGCCCCTTGGGATTGAACTCACATATAACCATGCAGCCGAGACTTTATATTAACTGATGATTCATTTAGGGTTCGAGTCTGGGTATGTGGCACAGGGCGGTGATGTTGGGAGCTCCCTGGCTCGCATAATGGCCGCTAGGTTCGACGCTTGCAAAGCAATCTATAGTTTGTTCTCCATATTTACACGATTATACTTGCCTTGCGGGCTAATGAATTGTAGTCACTATGTTAATTGCCGAGAATGAATAGCAGGTTTTCAAGGATGAGCCCCTTCTACCCTATGACTAAGCCTTGATGCAAAGGATGAACGATTTCATGGCCAAAGGGATTTCCTATGCTATTTTTAACGGCTTACGGCCGTCCATAGCATGGTTGGTCGTATCATCTAGCCCTTTGGCGGCACTGGCCTAGTAAGCACTCTCTTGGATAACCGTCGAGTACTGCTCGGCTAAGAAATTAGTTAACTAATGACGCAAAAGTATCGGGGAAAAGCTTATTGAATGGGCTGATCTTAGGTCCCCTCTGATACTGGATATTATTCTCGGCATTGTTAGCTTCTATTGGTATACTTCTAGCTTTGCGAGGAGTTTATTCCAGTACCCTGACCTCGCTAAGAATTTTGTAAAGGGTGCTAGTATGGAACTCCCTTTGACTCCGGATAAACCTCTAGGTTATTCCTCTTTCGGTGGAGATATCGTTGGTATGCCTTATTAGTGGGCTAAGAGGGTCACCTGGGTCTGCTTTTTTATATATCGCATGAGAAGGTAAGAGTTTCTTAAGCGACTTGATGATACCGATGAGTTAATAGAGGTTGATATAGGGCGGCTACTATCCTGCTCTCGAGTAACCTCGTGAGTTCCTCTAGGTTGTCGAAACTTTCCTATCTAGGCTCGATATCATAACTGGAGAATGGAAGTGAAGCAAGTAGCCCGACGTGAAGACGGATATAAGAGAAAAGGCGGGGATGGAGGGGCAAAAGGATTGCGCAACGTACTTAATAGACTGGCGGATCCTATAGTGGGCCTAGGGGCTACTGGTCTTTATGCAATAATATAAACTCATCAGCATATGAAAGTTGAAGAGAAAAGGATATCAAATCTTGATAGCTTCTCTGCCCCTGCTCTCTCACGTAGCTTACTATCCCTTCTCGGGTGATTGGCAACTTAACTTAATACCTATACGGCGCCGTTCACTAGATAGAGGCTATCCTGTCTTGGCTAGTTATGTCTATAGGTGCCTTGCCGGGAAACCTGTTGCTAATTAGATGGTTTTACTTACCTATGAATCCTCGAGACTATCTAAGAGCCGTAGACTATGGAATAGAAGGTTAGGTTGAAGGGATTTAACTTTGCCTGGCTCTTTGGTATACAAATCTGATAAAATGGGGTATGGTATCGTAAAGCCCTCATCGTATGCGCCCTAAAGGCTAGTTCGAAGTACTCAAACGAAATTTTTGGGGGTACAAACATTAAGTATGGTGGAAGCGATCTAGCGGTAGTGGCCGATTAAGCGGCAAGGTCGACGGTTGGATGAGGGACCGTGATCGATGACTTCTTGGATATCTTTCACGATGGTTAGTAGAACCTATTACCGGTAAGATACGTGTGGATAGATATCAAAAGGAACGTATACCGGAGAGGTCAGAAAAGAAGGATTCTTCCGATTCAAATAACCCACTGGAAGTCATTTCCCAGCGAATCGAGCCTGGCGATGTCGCCGGACGTGTTATTTTCAGCCCTGAACCCATCCAGAGGTCTATTGATCGATCGGTCGAAGTCTGGGCTGTGATTGCCAAGGCGACGCTCTCTAGACGAGCTCGCCGTATATTATTATGCGGGAGATGGAGAGTAGCGCTATCTGAAATAGCGTAGTATCTTGGAACTAATGCATTGGTTGCAGAGGAAATTCGGGCCGCCGGAAGATGTGAAAGGTGCAGAAGAGCATATCCGCAGCTGAGATGACTGATATTATGAAGTGAAGATTGCGGACGAGGACGGGGATGGTAAGTGTCGCAGTGATTGTAGCGCCTTAGAATGCGATGCGGGTAGGATATCTAGTCACGAAAACACTATCGGGGACGGGGAGATGTGTCTGGAAGGCGGAGTGTTGGGCACTGACGTGTAAAAGTTAATCGGCGACGGAGATGATCCTATCTATCTTCTGGGGCAGTTATCCCATCGATAATCCGGCCTTAATTATAATAAAGAACATATCATCAACATATCATAGCATTATATCCCAATGCTAGTAAAGTGGCCGACCCTGATATAATTTATCGTCATTTCCATCGGTGTTAAGGTAAGCGACCTGGTGCGCTTCTAGACATACTAATGATTCCTAGATCTGCTACTTATATATTAGCTAAAGACCTGAGCTGTTTTGACTGATTTCGCTCACGATAGGCGATGTGGCATCGCGGGGAGGGAGCCGGGGTTGAATAGAATCGTCGAGATGTCGGAATATGTTCATTTATATTCGCTTCCCTAGCGTCATCGATACCTACCGTTACTTAAGAAGATAGGGACTC